ACTCTTTCCTGCCTATGCAGGGGGTCGGACTCAATGATCTATTGAGGTCCCTTCCGACCCTAACATTTATGAATCTATGAATCTATGAAATGGAAGTGTAGGGCCACGGCTCAACAACTCAGAACAGCTGGTTACTGGCACTAGACAAGCTAGCAAGTTGGGCAGATTGGAACCAAATGAAGTTCGACATCATGAAATGTAAAGTGCTCCAGAGCAGGTACATACCAGCCTCCTAGAACAGGGGTGGCCAATCCACAGGATATGTGGCACAGGTGATGCAGGCAATCTGCTTGTGTGGCATGCAGGAGATTGGGGAGGGAGCAGAAAGTAGAGCAGCAGGTAGGGAAGGGGAAAGGTGATCAGAGAGGCACTTAGGGAGAGTGCAGGGCCTACCTTGTGGCACACTTGGCAGGGTGCACTTGCCCACATCCTTCGCAACTCCACCCTGCCAACCCTGGTGGGGAGCAGGCACTCTGCACCATAAGTGCCAGACTTCCAGCTGGGCACAGTAGCAGTCCTGCCCTTCCCCATCAGGAGCCCCACCTCCCCTCACCTCCCCTGACTCATGTGGCCCTACACTAGCCAGGTGGACCCCCACCAGGCACACTTCAACAGATGCCTGGGCCAGACGCATGAGCTAGTGGAGTGTGCCTTCAGCCACCTGAAGGGATGCTGGCATACCCTCACCATCTGCCTCAAGGTTGCCAAAGCCAACATCCCCCGAGTCATCGTCACAGCCTGTGTGCTGCACAATATCTGTGAGGCCCAGAGGGAGGTCTTTCATGAGGCTTGGGTGAAGGAGGTGCAATGGGCACAGGATGGCTGGCACTGAGAGGGCAGTGACAGCAATGGCCCCCATCACCAAGACACCTGGCAAGCTGCTTACCTGCCAGTGGGGGCCCAGGCATCAGGTGCAAGACGCATTAGCTAACAACCTCCTCCTGTACTCCATGCTGAAGGCCACCTGGACAGCCTCCCCTGGACCCCAGACCCACCCCCGTCCACCTCCAGCACCATGCTCATTGCAGACACCATGCTCATTGCAGAAAGTTCAGAAAAGCACTTTATTCCCCTCCACAAAAACAGGACCCCCCCATCTCCTCCCTCCCCCCTAACAGAGCCCTACCCTCCACCCTTCCCAACAATAGACCCTGTCCCTCCTCTCCCTCCCCATAGAGCTTCTCTTCTACCTACCCAACCTACCACCAATAAAGCACCCTCTTTTCTATGCAGACCTTGTGCAGTGCTGTGTGTGCCCTCCTGGGGCGCAGGGCAGTAGAGTTGAGGTGACTAGCGAAAGAGCCCAGAGACAGGCACCCAGCACCCTGGCCTCTGTCCACACCCCCACGGATGCAGATACCACAGCAAGGCTGGCAGGGGCTGACCCAGAGGTGACAGCAACCACTGCTCTGCCAGCACAGCCAACTCCCCCTCCTGCAGCCAGAGGGCCAGGCCAGTAGGGCCCGCACATGGTGTGGGCCCTACTGCAGACAGCTCCTGCTCTGGGGCCACATGGAGCTGGGGCAAGAGGTAGGGCTGGACTCAGGCAGGGAGGCTGGGTGGTGAGGGACCAGGGGTGGGTGCCAGGGCAGGGGTTCCTGGCATGTGGAGATGCCGTTGCACCCCAGCCCGGTCCCAATGAGAGGCTTGTGGCTGGGCAGGAGGTGGCTGCCAGGGGCAGGTGGGGCTGCAGCCAGGGGCTGAACAGCAAGTGGCACAAAAATGACCACCAGGGACAGGATGGTGCCCAGCATCCAGTAGTCCTCATCTGTGGCCTCCACTGCCCTAGCCACCATGGCAGCCTGCTGCTCCTGGGCCTCCAGGTGCCTCTCCTCGAGGGCCAGGAGCCTGTTCCAGAACTCCTGATCTACCCAGTCCCTCTGTCAGTCCCTCTTCTTGCACATCAGCCTCTCCTCCTCACATGTGTCCCTCCCACTTGCACATGACATTTTCTGCATGCCAGATCCATGAGTCTGCTGGCCACTCTTTGGCCACCATGACCTGCTGGCCCAGCAGTCAGGTGCAGGCCTGGATCCTCCATTGCTGATGACCCTAAAGGCACATCCTGGCTGGCAGCTGGTGCCTCTTCCCCATATGAATCTGCACGACCTATAAAGAGGCTGTTTGTGATATTTTGCAATATTTCTGAGATAACATACTCTTTACCAAGGGCTGTGCTCTGCCTGGCCTCATATCAGGCGGTCGTATATGCACGAGTGCCCATGGACTGCCTGACAGACCCTGGCACAGGTGGCTACCAGCCAAGCCCCCCATCCCCACTCACTCCACAGGGGCAGGTGGGCTACTGGGTACTGGCCGCAGGCAGCCTGCCTTCCCTGCCCCCTTCACAAGCTGGAACAGGCCTGGCTTTTGGCAGCACCTGCTGCCACAGCTGCAGACCCACTCTCCCCGCTTCTCCTTCTGCAGTCCAAGCAGTCTCCTGTGCTGCCACCAAGCCCATGGTGCCTGGGCTCAGGGGGCTCAGGGCTCCCCCCCCAGATTGGAGCACAGAGCTGTTGGTGCCCCTCCTCAGGGAGCCTCTCCAGGGACCCCCCTCCCCATGCCAGCCCTGCACCCCAAGCGTGCCCCTGCTGAGACTGTCCTTGGCACCCTGTGAGGAGCTGTTTGCATGGACTGAGGGGTGACCATTCCACTATGCCCAGGTGAGACACCTGTTCAGAACTGGGCATATACATCTGCCAACAGGTATTGCCAGTATTGTGGTTCATTACCTAGCCCACAGTCTGCATGTTCTTGCACCAGTATTAATTGTGTTTAACAGCATGCAATGCACATGAGCACTGATTGCCACAGCTGGCACTGGGAGATGAACAGAACGTCCAGCACTGCTCTCCGATTCCTGGTGTGGTAATACTCTCACAATCTGTACATCAGGGACCAGCTAATGCCAACTGAGGAGGCTAATCAATACTCACAACACTTGTGGTATAGAAATAAAGCTTTAATAAACATTCCTGTTACAGCTTGTGCATTCTAGCAATGATATTTACATTGTGAAAACCCACGTCAGTGTATCTTTGATTTTGCACAGAGGTATCCCCCTCTGCCTCCTTCTGAGCCGTCTATTGGGTCTGAAACTATATCATTCCAATAAATTATAGCCAATGTAGAATAATGTTTATACAGATATTTTCCATCAACAGGAAAAAAACAGATTTGGGATAGTTGCAATGTAGAGAGGTTTATGCATGTTCTTGGTGGTGAATTTTCTGAGATCTTTTCTCCAAATTCTTCACTGCTTTCTTCACCCAGTTCTTGGAAGGGTCAGCACAGACCTTGCGGCCAGCAATAGTTTCAAAACTCCCCGTGGGGAAAACAAGAGAGCATAGTGAAATAAGACAATTCTGGTTTTATCTTTTAGCCCCAGTAGTCCCTTTCCTTGCATCACTTCCCCCACCCTTTCCTGACTTGCTTCACTTAGCCTATCTAAAATACCTCATCATCTACCCCATATGCATGTGTAGCACCCAGCACACTGCAGCCTTTAGGCACAATTCTAATACAAATTAAGTGTCGTTGCTGTCTACTGTAGACAGTGCATCCATTTCTTAATGGATTCTTGCTGGACTCATTGTTTCAGGAATGTCCAGCTGAAGGGGCTTAGCAGTCAACTTCCTCACAGTGTAGGAAATTATACACAACTACTCCCTTTATACAGAACCTCCCACGTATGTGATTTTAGAATGACCCTGTGCTTTATCAGACAGATGTATTTGTCACAGATGTGATGGCTGCAAACTGTTCTGGCTTTCCTCTGTGGTATGCTTAACAGGATGGTCAGAGATCAGTGATCGAGGGAGTGGTCTGTACTTACACAACAGCCAGTACAGGACAGCCTTCAGATATTCTGTAAAAATCCACCAGTTTGGATTGTTGAATAACTCCAGTGAAAAGCTCAAAGCAGCATTCCTTAGGCATATAACCAGGTGCAGCTGTTAAAGAGAAGGGAAGAGTGCAAGCACGGGTTAAAACTAGTAAATTCCAATATTATGCCAATGTTGGGATCTCTGAATGACACTAGCATTTACTCATCTCACAAAGCATAAAAATCTGAATGCCTAGCAGCCATTCAACTGCCATAGGAATGGGAATTCTAAAGCTAACACACAGATACCATGGGGAACCAAGCTGTATTAAGAAAGACCAAAACAACTGTAGGTCCCTTAAACTGAATGGAGAGGAGAAGCTAAAAATGGATGATGCAAAGAAGGCTGAAATGCTTAATGTCTCTTTTTACTTCAGTCTTCACAGATAAAATCATCTATCATATGGCAAGTACAGTTAGCATAAAGGAGATGCAAGGGATACTCAGCCTGGAGAAGGGAATAAACAAAGAGATTATGGTATTTAGATAAGATAAATGTGTTTAAGTCAGCACGACCTGATACTCTACATTCTAAAGTATTCAAGGAAGCAGCTAAAGTGTTTGCAGAGCTATTGTCTGTTATCTGTGAGAGTGTTTGGAGATCAGGTCAAGCCAGATCCCAGAAGGCGGCAAATAGAATGCCCATCTTTCAAAAAAGAAAGGAAAGGAAAGTATCCAGGGAATTTCAGAACCTTGGTCTAATGGCAATACCTGAAAAAAATACCAAGCCATGTCTTCAAACAAGTGAGCTGCAAGCACCTACAGCATAACAAGGTGATCAGGGCCAGCCAACATGGTTTAGTTAAGAGGAATTCATACCAAACCAGCATAATTTTCTTCTCTGATTAAGTGACAGGCCTTGTAGACAAGGAGAAGTATCACTAATGCTGAAGAGAGTGAAAGAATCCTCTCCTGTACCTTGCATTTGACATACCTGTTAAATCATCCCACTCTGCTTTTAAGCATTGGAGCAGGTTGCTTAAAGAGGTTGTGATATCTCCGACACTGAAAGCTTTTAAGAGTGGATTACACAGCTGTTTTTCTGGGATGTTTTAGGCTGGGATGTTTATGCCTTGCAAAGGGTGTTGAACTAGATAGGCAAACCCTTGAGGTCCCATTCAGTCCTGTTTTTCCTACAATTCTAACTTTAAGAATCTCTGTCCATTTTACTGCACAGAAGACTGATGCCAAATGAGTAATTGAAACTGGAGGCCAAAGCTCCCTATTGGGTATACCTGTGAGCACCTGGCCCTTCCTTTTTATCACTGAGAGGTGCACTGTGCCTACAAAGATCTTCACAGGTATGTCAGGGTTAGAGATCAGAGACCACAAGTTTCAAAAGTCAGTAGTTATTTTAAGTGTTTTATCTTAAGACAGTGATCATCATTCCTCTGCTGAACATTAGGTCCCTTTAAAGTATCTCCTGTTCTCCCTCCAAAATTTGAGCTGTCCAAATTCACTCATGACTTGTAATAATTTTGGCTAAATTGTTTGTCTCCCAAAAACTCCAGCCTGCTACCTTATGAGCTACATGGATCCATTTTTCATCAAAAACTCATTAATAAAAGAGAAAGGACCCATAGCCATATTCAGCTCAGCCAGTTCCTTTTTAATCCAGGTCTGAATTATGTCTACACTATTTTTCTCTATTATATTTTTTTTTCAGAAATGTGTTGCTTGGTTTCCAGAACAATCCCAAATACCTCTGCTGGAATCCACCAACCTGCTAGTTCCAGAACCTCCGCTGGTATAAAACAGGAGGGTCTTATTTACTTTTATGGAACCACAACTGTTTACACTTCTTGCACGGCTGACCTTCATGTTTGAACCAAAGTTTCCACTTACCTTTACAAAACTGACAGGAAACCACCAGGATTAGGATGACCAGGAGAGCTGTCCTCATGGTGACTTTGAAGAGGGTTTTCTTCTGGAGTTGAGTTGTTCCTGTCTTCTCCTGGGAGCTGCAAAGTGATACATTGGAGGTGAGGCTCTGATATTTATACTGTCCATGCTGCCCACACAAGTTGCCTTTCTGAGAACTTCGAGAGAAAAACTTACCCAGAAAGCGTGGGGAGCTTTCCATGAAATTTGTGTTTAACCTGGTAAGGAAGTGAAGCTCAGGGGCAGCACGTGGCAGCAGGAACTGACACTTCCGCATTCTTTGTAAGTAGTGAAAAGTCTGAAGCATCCTGGGGTCATCAGTGAGTGAGGGTTGCAAAGAGCTCATTAGAGGAACTGAAATTTTCTCTTCTCAGGGCTAGGAGTTTCGATGAAGCGGGGCAGCACAGTACAAAATGGCTTTGCCATGTAGTTTGTGTGCTCACCTGCACCTGTGCAAAGGAGCTGTAGAAATCTTCCATCTGTTTGCTTGGGGCAGTGTTTGCACTCACTTTGCACTTGATGACAAGACTTCCCATGGATCAAATCCTCCCACATAAGCAAATGTCTGGGAACAACAGTGGCCAACAGTACCTCAGAAGCTTCCCTTAATTCATGCACTGGTCTAACCAACAATGACATTAACCTTATCTGGATATGATTAGCCAAGATGACTACCATCAAAACTTAAATGATCCCTTCCTAAGTCATCTTATTAAGAAAAGATCCCTATAATAACTTCAGACTCATCCCTTGCAGCTCTGAGTCAGAAGGAAAGGCATTTGTATGCCATTTACTGACCTAATTCAGGACTTGCTCCTAATTTCTGCCTATATTCACTAGACCAAAGAGTGCTTGATCTTAAAAATGGAAAAAATATTATCAAAGTGGGAGAGCAAGGACTAAGGTACATCAGTGACTGTTATTGCAGAGCATATAATAGTATAGCCATCTACTACCAATCTGAACACAAGGGTTTGCCTGCTTTTTATTGCACGCACCAGGTGACTAGGAGCTCTTTAATGTAAAAACTCTGAGAATTAGCCTGAACCTTTCTCATCTTAATTGGACTGGTCAACACTGCCTGGATAGCCAGCTGGCACTGCCTAGTTCTTAATGTCTTGTCTGGGGTCAGTTTAAACAGGCACTGGGCTCAGTTTAAAACCCAGGCTAGATCCTCAGGTATCTTT